ACACAACAGAGTACAATGTAACTACATTTACCAACCAGACAACAGAGAACAATCTAACTACAGTTACTCCTGTTACCAACCAGACAACAGAGAACAATCTAACTACAGTTACTCCTTTTGCCGACCACACAACAGAGTACAATGTGTAACTACTGATACTCCTTATATCAACCACACAACTAAAGTACAATGCAACTACAGTTACATCTACAATTTAACCACACAACAGATTTACAATGCAACTACAGTTACTCCTTATATCAACCACACAACAAAAGTACAATGCAACTACAGTTACATCTACAATTAACCACACAACAGATTACAATGCAACTACAGTTACTCCTTATATCAACCACACAACAAAGTACAATGCAACTACAGTTACATCTACAATTAACCACACAACAGATTACAATGCAACTACGGTTACAATTTATACCAATCCTACCACAGAGAACAATGTTACTCGAGTTACACCTTTTAACAATCACACAACAGGGTACAATGTATCTACAATTGGCAGCTACAGAAAAGACAACAGTACATTTACAACAAAGAACACAACAGTTAGCACATTCACAGCCTCTCCCAACCACACTGTAGTGAGTAATGTAACTGCAGCTTCCAACAATCACACAACAGTCTCAAACAATTATACAACACAGTATAACCTAACTACAGCTGATGCCAATTGGGACTTACACAATACTACATTTACAACAAGTAATGCAACAATAAACACATTTACAGCATCTCCCAATTACACAACTGAAAAAAATGTAACTGCAGTCTCTAACAATTACACAAAGAATATAACCACAACGACTGAATCTCAAAACAAAACAGCAACATACAATGTAACCACTGCATCTTTCATTGAAACACAACAGACCACAACTGCTCCCACTACTCAACAACTTAATGTAACTCTCAATGGTGATATAACTTCGACAAAATACTCAACTGTGGACAATCTGACGTCTGTTGTTGACAACATAACTAAACCTACAGCAGATCCACTTAACAACCAGACTAAAAATCCCACCACATCTAGAGTTAGACCCTACACCACATCAACCAACAAAAATGATACCTTCACCACAGTGGCCAATGCTGTCAATACCATCATCAATCACAATCAAACTGCTGTAACAAGATTCAACCAGAGTACCACAGTACGCAGTCCAACCAATTACTTTAACCTGACCACTAAAGAAGAAGTTCATTTGAAAACTACAAAGTCAACCACACCAACTAAGCATGGTACACATCCGTCCTGGAAAAACACTACTACTGCAAAGGTTTCCTTGACTTCCTCTACAACAACTTTCCAGATCAACACCCTCCCCATAAAAACCACAACGTTACCTGGTATGTATAGGTTAGACAACAGAATTTTCCTGGAAAAGCTTGCTGTTTAGAAAGCTGTTTAAAGTTCAAATGAGTTGTTGAGGAAGTCATCTATGAGGGCAATCGTTTTAGTAATACATGCATTACAACAATACATTTATTACTGGTGTAGTTCCTTAATCTGCCTGGATAGAATGATTTTCTGTGTAGCAGATAGGGAGGAATCCTCGATCAAACCCCAAAGTAGAAAACTGATATATTTTATCAATACAATGGCCACTTTATAACTTGATGTACTGCGTGTGTTATGTCCATATCCATTGCAGAGACAACTACAAGTCAAGAGGCACAGGAGGAACTAGCAAACGAGCTGCTGAATCAAGCACAAAATGCCTCTCAGCTGAACTCTTCTCAGGTGAAGCTACTGTTCATTACAGTATGCAAGAAGAACATTTTTTTGCAAGAAAATGTGGAATCCTTAAGAGTTAACTTTATAATTTGATTGGGGATGCAGGTTGCACAGTTGGTTGGGAACTTGGAGAAGCTTCTGGATGGCTCCTCTGTCTCTAAGGCAGTGGGACAAAAGGTCATCAACGTTGTCAGCAACCTGATGGAGGGCAACTCAGTGGCCCTCTCTGCATCTGCGAACAGGTACTTATTTCACAACCATTAGCCACATGTATTCATATACATTCGATTTTTTTCAAATAATTGTTTGTGTTTGTTTCTGTATACAGGCTTGTTCAAGTGGTAGAAGATGTAGGTCTTAAGTTGATTATCCCTGGTGACAGAGAGATCCTTTCCTCGGGTTCAGTGGTTCTAGCAGTGAGGAGTATCGATGGGACCAACTTTCCACAAACATCTTTCAACATTTTCAACACTGATAATGTCCAGGTAGACAATATTTTAAATGTTGTCATCTGTATTCATTGTATTTCATAAGGTGCAAAGAATCCTATGCAGAATTACCTAAACACTGCTCTCTTTCTATTGGCCAGCACAGGTTGCAGAAATCTAATTTTATAGAATTCTCTAAAGAAAAATGAATCCACTTCTTCTAAAACCAAAAGGCAACAGGGCAGCAAACATTCCTTTGACAAAATAATGATTATGCTATGATCTAAATTAATTGGGAATGTAATTGTTAGACAAAAGAAAAATAAGACAACATTTATGTAAAATTAATATTCATCATATGATCATTCTTCCTTCTTCTTTTTATTTTTATTGACATTTTTGTTAATTAAACCCCCACAAATGTAGGCAAACACTTAGCCTTTTCTATCTTTGCTACACACATTTCTCAGAAGAACGACAACTCCTGAACAATTGACATTTACTCTGTTGACAAAAGCGATTTAAGTTTTTTCCAGTCAGAGAGAAAACTTGTACAAAACGACAGGGGCAGATTTCTCTAGATGCAAACACAGTGACAGAAAAAAGTGATTTTTTAAACTTAAAACTGGAAGTGCCAAACTTTTATGTTAACAATTTATTAACAATTTGTGCAACCAGCTCCGTGCATTCAGCAGATCCAGGTCCAAAAGGTCAAGTTCTGCTCTTGGGTCTGTTTCTTTGCCCTCCTCCCTCACCGCGGGTCTCAGTCCTGAAGACCAGCAGCTGGCAAACAGGGTCCAGTTCACATTTTACACTAAACCTGCCCTATTCCAGGTACTTATTCATCTCTTACAGAGTTTTTCTCAAAAATATTGAAGTATTTTCTAATGTTCATTTTATGATCTACAAGCAGATTTTCTCAATTAAGACAAATGTTTATTTTTTAAATAACACCATGCATGTTTTTGACAGTCATTTATCATATAACCTTCCTGTAAAAAGATTCTGGCTGTCTATCTTTTTTGTAGGATGATGCATTAAACAACCAAACCCTTGTCAGTCCAGTCCTGGCTGCCAGTGTGACTAATCTGTCAATCAGCAATTTGGCTGAAAACATTCAGTTTACTATCCGAAATGTCAACCCGATAGATGTGAGTGTGCACACAAATAATAGTAGTTATTTCATCCAAAAAAGTGTCCTGCATTAATCCAAATCTACAAGTAACTGCATTTTGATGTTCAGATAAACAAAAGTCTTTGAGTCAACTTAAATAATATAAACTTTTTTTATAAATTATCTACAAGTAAAACGTGTTTTTGTACTTTTAATTTGATTTGCAGGGAAACTACTCAGCCTCCTGTGCATTTTGGGACTTCACTCAGAATGGTGAGTGCAATGCATGCTAATTGAGTTTGTTACATTTCTAAAGGTATTGAAATCCCTGTTTGTTGTTTCTCGTGTTCAGGCGGAGGAGGCTGGAGCTCTGCTGGCTGCTTTGTTATCAATAATACTCCGGAAGAAACAACCTGCAGCTGCAACCATCTCACTAGTTTTGCAATTCTGCTGGTTTGTATTTTTCCCTTTTTTTATAATGCTGGTTTATATTTGTTTGGTAGGTATGATCTAACTCTGTCTTGTATCAAATGGTGAAAGAGAAAAAATATTATGGTTACAGGCTGCTGTTGGGCTAAGTGTATTCACTGTTTATTTATTTTGTGTACCCAAGGATTTGTCCAGAGAAGGAATTATTGATCGTCAGCAGGCACAAATTCTTACATTCATCACCTACATCGGCTGTGGAATCTCTGCCATTTTCCTTGCACTCACTTTACTGACTTATCTTTTATTTGAGTAAGAATCTGTCTTTACCAATTCTACTTTAATCCAAGATTTAATTATTGGGTTGTAAAGCAAAAATAAAAAAGGATAAAGCCAATTTATTTGCCTGCAAGTATCCTAAAAATACTTTTCTACGCAGAAAACTGATGCGGGATATTCCTGCCAAGATCCTGGTTCAACTCTGCTTCTCCCTCCTCTTCCTCAACCTTGTCTTCTTGCTGGACGGCTGGCTGGCACTGTACCCAGCAGTTGGGCTGTGCATTAGCACTGCCTTCTTCCTGCACTACTTCCTGCTTACATCATTTACCTGGGCGGGGCTTGAGGCCCTGCACATGTACCTGAGCATCGTCCGAGTTTTCACTCCCTACCTCAGCAGATACATGCTCAAGTTCTCACTGATAGGCTGGGGTGGGTAAAATGAACCTCCAAAATGTCAACATGTTTACAAATATGCAATACAGTATATTTATTTGAATATTTTCAAAAAATCTGTATTATAACAATATCTATCATTTTTTACCATATTTTTTTGGGATATACTGAAATTGTTCTACTGATTTAAAATCTGGTCTTCGCAGGCATCCCTCTTCTTGTGGTGATTGTTGTAATATCAGTGGACAAAGACAACTATGGTGTGGTCACATATGGAAAATACACAGATGGCACTTCAGACGACTTGTAAGTTATGCCTAAATCGCTCATCTTTTTTGAACACATTTTCAAAAAGATTTATTTTCTTTTGTTGATTGTTTTTTCAATAAACCCTAAATTGAGCCAGCAGTCCAAGACTGTTTCTGTGTTCTAGCTGAATGTGTTTTAGTTTTAAACATATGTGCAAATATATTACAAATGTATAATGGTATTGCTTTATTTTGATGAAAGTAATCTTTCTTTATAAATAGAAAACATAAATTAAGGAACATTATTTAAATGAAAAAAATAATCCATTGTCGCTGTTGTGATGTGTTTACTGTACTCTAATTTTATCATTAGGCTAAAACATTTAAATTAAATGTCTTCAAGCTTCAAGTATTCAGGTTAAAATATCTACTATGAAAAAGCTTAATTAGGCTCCTTCTCTGTGAAGGTTGCTTTCTCCAAATTCAGAAGTCAGAATTTTCAACCCAAGCAGAAAATAAGATAATCTCACAACTGTTTTTCTCTGTCACGATAATCTGCCATTTACAAATATATCTATCTTGTGCAATCACTGTATAATGTGTAATTATCTGTATGTACAGTACAGTTCTACAAACAAGCAATTAGTGAAATGTAGTCTTGAGTCCTTGAGCATCTGTAACATTTACACTGAGGGATCCAAAGTTTGATTTGATTTTAAGCGACCCCCCTGCAATATAGTATCACAATAAACACCATAGCACCCATTAATGCCTAATGCTACCACCTTGTTTATTCATCAAAAATTGTGCATTATTTGTTTCGTTGTGGCATTCTTGTAACACCATAATAGGCATATCACATAGAACCCTACCTGGCACATAATGAACATTTTCTTTTAAAATGATAGCCTTTTTGTAGTTAACTATAGACTTAACTTTTCCTTGTTTTTAATGTTTTACCCTGTAGCTGTTGGCTGCGTAATGACATCGCCTTCTATGTGGGAGTGGTAGCCTACTTCCTCCTGATCTTTGCCCTGTGCCTGCTGGTCTTCATTATTGTTATGGTCCAGCTGTCCCGGATCAAGAAGCAGAACCCCCAGAACCAGCCTCCCAACAGGGGGGTGATGACAGATCTGCGCAGCATTGCTGGTCTAATCGTGCTGCTCGGCCTCACCTGGGGGTTTGCTCTGTTTGCCTGGGGACCCCTTTACTTACCCTTTGTTTACCTTTTCACCATATTCAACTCTCTGCAAGGTGAGACTTGTATTTATGTGCTTTTTATGATCAATTCATATAAGTTTATGATTTGCAAATGTATCCCATTTTTTTCTATATCATTTGTTCTGTACAGGATTTCTTGTCTTTATTTTCCACTGTGCTGTGAAGGAGAATGTCCGTAGGCAGTGGAGAACATATCTTTGCTGTGGGAAACTGCGTTTGGCTGAGAATTCAGGTAAGCAGTAAATGTGTTTTTATACTATAGTATAATTTGACTGAACATGAGGTGAAAGCCCCAGGTGCCTAGTGATGGCCTAAATGTATGTCAGAAATCATACTCACACATCTAAACACACAGACATACTACACATACTTTTAGATTCAGACATTCAGGACATAATTATATGAGCAGTTCTTTGTAAAACTATAATAATAGTAACATTTAATTATGAACCAGTAAAAAGGCACTACTTTTTCTATCTTCTTCTTCTATTTAGAAAATACAAGTAAGCTACAAGAAAATACTTAATCATACAAGTAAAATAAATGTTTTGAAGTTGATAACATTTACATTATTTGATTCTGACACTGGCCAATAAACAAGAAAATACATTTTAAAAGCATTTTAAAACTTAAATAAGCTTGGTTATATTTACTTTTTGCCAGACTGGAGTCGGACAGCCACCCAGAACAGGAGGAATCTTTCGGTTGTCACAGCAACCACCTCAGCTCCCCACTTAACCTCTCGAAGCTCTTCCGTCATCAGTGATAGCACCAATAGCAATGGTAAGTTCACAGGTCGCAATGGCAGACCTGATTTTTTATAATCTTTAATACCATATGCCAGCATATTATTAAAATATACTATGTGTTGCTTTCCCACAGCGTCTGTGTTTGCGGACAGCGGAATATCTGACAGCTCCAACAGCGACGCCATCCTCAACGAGATTCACAGACTAAATATTTCACTGTAAGGAGAGACCTGACAAATGTGTCAAGCATCCATTTGTGATTCAAATATTTATTTTCTTTGAGAGAACCACGGATGCGGACAGTGATAATTCTCCTGCAGCATGAGTAAACAAAAAGAAAACTAATCACAGGAGTGGTTGCTCACAGAAATCCTCAGTGCTACCCAATATTCTGCTTTTACAGTTGTAATGAAGGACAGAAGAAGTGAGACTGAAGAAGTGAGACTGAAGAACTTTCGCGAGGAGTATGATTATTGCTTGAATGCAACAAGTTGACTTGATGCCTTTTCTAAATCAAGAGTATATGAAGTGTACAGTAGCTGTGCTTCTGACTGAATAAAATCATTATTTCACTGTAACAGCCAACTTAGTCTGCACACTGTAGCTTGTTCTAAGCTCTTATTACTGTATAAAGCAGATTATATCAATACCTTTTACCAACTTTATAATATTTACATTTAAACACACATGAATCATAGGCTGAAATGGAATAGGAAATTCAAAATGGTCTAATCACCCAAAAATGTCATTTATATGTACAAGAGACTGTTCTTTTTTCATAAACATTATATTTTTTGGTTTTTGCTAACCAGTTTGCAACAACAGCCGGCAAAATGGGGCCCAATGGATGTGCATGTGTTAAGGGAAGGAAATAAACCATAGATTAAGAGATCAAAAAATATAATATAAGTATATATTATGTGTAACAATAATGTTGACTGTTATCAATATTTGGATAATATCAAACTTTGACCTTCTAAATACATTGTTTCTTTATATTTGACATGATCTTTGAATTACACAGTAGATCCTGTATTGCCATTAGCTAACAGGTTTCTTCGCATAATATTTTCACATGATTTAAATGAAAATGTTCAGTGATTAGATTTGATATATGAAATATTAATCATAAATGCGTATATATACGGTATATATAAATACACTAGTTTCTTTTGTATATGCTTTATAGCCTTTTGTTGTTGCATTCTAATCACTGATGTGAAGATGACATATATCCTTCTATCTATTATTCCAGTTATTTTTTATTTATCTATAGTTTTTTCCATAGGATTCATAAACAGACTGATATTCTTTACATCATCCTATGTCTCTGTAAAGAAACAGCAGGAATGAATCAGTCCCGCCCCCACTTTGCTCCCCTGGCCTGATTTGGCGTTACAGCTGGAGCGATTGCCCATTGGTCTCCATTTATACTTTTTCCATTTTATACACTAAATAAACAATATGCAGTGCCTCATTTCCATCTGTAGACTACAAAGTTTAAGCTGGAGCTAGACAGATCAGTCTGATGTACTGAAAGTGGACTGGGTTATAGAGGGGACTTATATATAAAACATAATCAAAACTTGAATAATCATCAGGCCCAGCATGCTCAGTCCCTTGTCAGTACCGCGGGTACATCTTCTCTTCATTATATTAAAAACTTGATTGAAATCTCAAACATCTTCCACCAGATGTCAGTGTTAACCAACGCTTTTGGTATTTCCGTCACAGCAACTATTTTTCAGAAAACTGATCAGGGAACCTTTTTAACAGGAAAAACTTATGATCGTATTTCTTCTTATTTAACAGGTCACTGCTGCCTCAAAACAATCACCAACATTTTTAAATACCTTGATCCTATCAGATTCACAGTTTTTGAGATGCAGATTAAATGTGCATAATGTATGTCTGGCCCACTTAACTAACTTTCTTGCAGATTTTACAACCTCCATGAACACCATTTTATTTAGATTTTATTTAAATGTGATGTTTTTATGCATCCTTTCAGGTGGCCCATGATTTTAAAACCTCAGTATAATGACGAAAGTGTTGGGAGGGTGAAGGGCGGAAGAATTACACATATATTTTGGGATTTAAGATCAAAGACAACCTTCTTGTGTGCTGCTGAAATATATTGATCATTAAGACTTCAGCAGCTGTTTGCTGTTCATTTATCTTCTCCATCTTCCCCACTCTGATTTCCCAGCTGGTCTGAAATTTCGAACCTCACAAAGCGTTTAAGGTGAATATAGTAAGAGCAAAATTGCAACCTGAGGATAAAGAAAGACATTCTTGCATGCACTTTACCTAAAATGATGAGGGTAGACATCAGATTTTTTTTAATATGCTGTTTGTTCTGTTTCAGCACTTTACTTTTAGTGAGATCACATTACTAATTCTGAGATATTGCCAGCTGTGGGCCTGAGATTGTAAAGTATCTCACTGTTGACATGAAGATATTGGATCTATTTATTTCCCCAAATAATCTTAAACATTAAATGGTATTCTTTCTTATAAAAAACATTTTGATGGAGGGCTTTGTGGTAAAATGTATGGCAGCTAACTTAGTCAATATATGATATATTACTACACTTCTTTGTTATTGAAAACTTACCAGACGTGGTTCTAGTAAGTAGTGGTAGTAGTTAATGATAAGTGGCCCTATCAGGGTATTAAATAAAGATCAAAAGTGTTTTCTTTATTACTCCCTTTGCATACCTTGGGGCCACAGAGAAGTATAACACAAGGAATCTAAACTCAGACAAAGCAACATTTATTCCTGTCCCTCCTCTGTGCCCATAAATACTTTTTTATAGATGTAAATGTTCTAAAAATATCAACGCCTGCACAGTTCTTTCTTTGTGAAGTAATCAGTGCAGTTCCATCCCGACAACTTTTGAAGCTGTAAACTGTAATGCAGCCTACATGAATAGCGGCATTTCATTTGAAACCAAAAATAATTGCTTATCATGAGCACTCCTTGGCTCAGCAGAAATAAAAGTGTCCTCTGGGAAACATCGGATCAATGAAGCAAACCTTTCATCAGATTTTGATTGAAAGGAGTCACTGAATCAGCAAGATTTTTTATTGTTCGGCAAATTGGGAATTTGAGGTCATTTTTATGTGAGATTGTTGTCCTCCAGCTATTAAAGGCCTTTTACGTTTGTATAGCTATTTAATGTGTGTTCACATTAGTTGGGCTGTGTTGAAGGTTTGTTTAGTTGCACAGCTCTGTTATAAGAAAACAAGAGCTTGTAAACTGTGGCACCAGCCTGATCTCACCAGAATGTGTACAAATGACACGACTTTGCAAAGTCGTGCAATAGATACGCAGAAGTCAGTTTTTGCGTGCATAGTGCATAGCG